ATCTCATCTCCCACAATTGGATTGATACCTGATCTCTATTCTACAACTGATTAGAGGCAAAGGGAATTTGATCAAGTGATTAAAAACGCCTGTTTCAATCAAACGATCTTAAGTTAGTTTCTGTGAATTTTCGAAAGTTTAGAAACTTACCTTGGTGATTGTTTTGTAAATTCTGCAAGAGTTGGTTGAATGGGATGTTTTGGCTTCAGTGAGCGTCTGTGTTGATCTCAGCTTAAGTATGGGAGGCTTCTCTGTCTTGTGCTCCACGTTCTCATGCTGGTGTACCACGTTCTTGGTCCCTTGCACTTGCTCTTTAATAATATTGGTTTGTAAAGCATGGTTTGTTGCTTTGTAGTTGAAGAAACTCCTTGGGTAAAGTTGAGGGATTTTTGGTACTAAATCTTTTGGTGCATACTTATCCCTTAGTAATGCTTTGAGATCTCCCCAGGTGGATATAGTTGGCTCCGTGTAGAACCAACGGTCATCTTCTTCTTACAGCCACCAGTTATAGACATCTCCAACAAGTTGGCCAATTGCATAAGCTAATCTCTCCTCTTTTAGGATGTTGTTGTAGTAGAACCACTCATCTATGTTTCTTTCCCACTCTAGATAGTTTTTTTTTGCCTGAAAATGCATAGAGTTGAAGTTATTAAAAGATTGATAATCAAAATCAAAATAAACTTGAGAATTGAGAGCAAGAGAGGTTTTAGGTGGGTTGCTTCATGTTGAACTCCATAAGTTGTATGTGTTCTTAGGATGCTGCTCTTCAAGGCCTGCAGCTTCTTCATATCCTCCTTGTGATTCGTCATCTTCAGTTATGGACTCTTCCATGGGGTTGCTTTCCTCATAGTCTTCTCTCCATTCATCTTCTTCTTCTTCATACCATCTCTTGTAGTTTGAGGGGATTTTGTTGTGGTCTGGTGGTTCAGGCTCAGGTTCTCCTCTGCCTAGATCATGACCATAGTCAATTTTGTCCTCAGGCCATGGTGGGAATTCATAGCCAGCCTCCTCTTACAAAAAAAGCAAGGCTCTCTTCTTCTTGACTCCATTGGTCATTGAAGGGTTGATAAGGGCTCTCCTCATCTGAATACTCCATTGATGCTTCTGCTTCTTCTTCAAGCATTCCTAGCAAATAAGATCAAAGGAGATGTATCAAATATGTAGAAAGAAAAAAAATTCTTTTTATGTGGTTTTCTGATTTAATAAAACACAAGAACAATCAATTAAGCAGTTTAAACCAGTTGGAAGAAAATGGTTTTAAAATTTAGCAAATGATTCAAAAAAATTTTAAAAAAGATATGGGTTTTAAGATTTTAATAAATCAGAAACAAGAAACAAAATATTTTTATGGATTTTTAAAAATTTATAAAATTCACAGAAGACAGATGAACAATAAACAACTTTTTATGATTTTTTTTTATTTATAAAAAAACAAATTTCAAAAACTGAATGAAAATAAATAACAAAAACTTGAGATAGGAATTAGAAACACCTGGTATAGGAGCTTTTAGCTCTTATACCAATGATGTAGGATTGAAAATAAACCAAAACTACTCCTTAGAATCTGATCTTCAAGCTGAATGTGGTGGAGGAATGACTTGTGGTTTTGTAGTCAATGATGCTTGATGACCCCCAAACACCAAAGGTTAGACTCTTCTAACTTCAAGGGCTAATCCACGCAAGAGGTTAGGAGACTCTACACGTTCTTACAAGCTTCTGAATCCCTCAAGAAACTTAGTACAAAACGCAGAAACACTTTTAATGCAAATAACTTTTCTTTGAAAACAAATAACTTTGATCAATTTCTTGAATATTCTGAAAATACAAAGATAAAGAGATTATATAATTCTCAGAAAATGAAATAGCAAACGTTCATAAAATAAATAAATAGAAAACATAAAATGTGGGTGATATGATGATGAATAATGTCTCATAGCCGTTGGATGAGAGGGGGAAATCAGCTTGATTTGTGGTGACGAAATCTGATGATTCTTTGACTGGTTTTGATGCTCAGGATGTGATGAAGTGAATGGGTGGTCGAGATCTTCAAGTGATAAGAGATTCTGGTCTTGTTTTCCAAAGCTAGCAATGTAATCAAGCTCTTTTAAGGCAAGTAGTTTCTTCTTGGATTTGGGATGGTTTCTTCTGGTTACTGGCGTGGTTTAGTGTTTCTGAATATCTTGAAATACTCCTTGGTGTTCGAATGAAGTGGTGGGGCGAATATAATGTCATGAAATTCCTTCTTTCCTTAGTTAGCTCCAATCTGGCTCCATTTGGTGGTTTTGATAATTCTCCTTTGGTTTGGCTGGTTTGAGCTCGGCTATTGACTTGATCAGGTGGTTTAGGAATCTTGGTAAACTCTGAAATGTCTCTTGGTGGTCGAATGAAGTGGCTGGTCGAATAAAATGTCATGTAATCTCTTCTTTCCTTAGATAGCTCCGTATATATCAATGTAGGTCCATATGTTGATTTGAGCAGTTCTTCTTTGGTTTGATTTAAATAGCTCCGGTTCTTGACTTGTAAATTGGCTTGAATATCTTCTAAATACTCCAAGGAATAAGGTATGATCGTGCTTTCCTTATATAGCTTGCCATATGTGCATGTAGGTCCAATTAGATGCTTCGGCGGTTAAGTGGTTTGGCTTGCATTTTAGATTGAACCGACTTGATTCTAGCTCGACCAAAAGGTCTCTCCTGAGGTATAGAACGATAGCGTATTGGTGATAAGTCCTTAATATCTCCAAGCTCAGCTACAAGTCCTCCTTTTCCCTCAGTTACAAGCTTGGCTCTTTCTGATTTAGCTTCAATGCACCTTCTCTTGACTGGTTCAGTTGTGTATGGTATGATGCTTACATCCCGAGGGGTTATGATTGATGTGCTGGACAATAGGATGCATCATTCATATGCTCCGTGGAGGTCCAGCTAACCGAGCCCGATATCCAAAGTCACAGGATAAATAATGGAGCTACACTAAGGAGAACCCCACATAAACTTCCCGGTGCATACTGAACCGGAGCCACAATTGAGGATTCTGCAGAGCCAAGTCTCCGACGCAGCATTTCCACACACATCAAGCATGCACACCAACCAGAACACCAAGCAGTCCTGCTCAATATAGCTTATCCAAGAGTTGACCAAGTGTTGACCATTTTGTTGACTTTTTATGTTTTGTTGACCAAACTAATTTTAGGGGTCTTCCCTATAAATAGCTAAACCTATTAACCTTAAGGGTTATTCATTATCCATTATCTTATCTCTTTTGCTCTCTTTCTTAAGAACAAAGAACACAAATTTTGGATCATTGTTTTTAGTTAAGTTTTTCATTTACCTTTTAATCTTTCTTGTTTATCTACTTTCTAATCATGTTTAGCAACACTCTTTTAGATTTAAACATGATTAGTGGGTAGTTTCTTTTTGGTTTGAGTAGATGGGGTGATTCAAGTGATGGTTTAGGGTGTTTAGGACTTAGATCTTGCATTTTTCTTTCTTACATAATTGATTTTAGTGCCTAGTACCTCTTTATTCGATAAGTTGATCGTAGGTTTTCATTTGCACTCCATGTGTTTGATGAAATGCTTGAATGAAGTTCATACTTGAGTTTGATGTTTAGAAAATCATGAGTCTTTGCATATATCTTCTCTTGTGTGATTGTGTTTAATGTTTAGTACCATATTGGTGAAATATCGTCCTTAGAATTTTGTGGGGCATGTGAATGTTAATAAATTGTCTGAATTAGGTTGTGTAAGAGATTAGTAAACCTAGCAAGCATGATTTTTGGTTCTATGAAGCTTGCGAATGAATGCTTGTTTGTCATATATACACCATTAACCATAGATTTAAAATGTGATTAATCAAAAGGATTAGTGCCATAGGAATGAATTAGTGTATAATTGTGCTCCTTACCTAAGGTTAATGTATTGCTTGCTTGTTTTTGAACACCCTTAACTTGAAAAAAAATTACCCTATTACTATTGCCTTAGTCTTGAACATCTTACATTTGTCATTTGAATTAGCTTTTACTCTGTTTCATTTGCTCATTATTGCTTATTGCTTTCTTACTTTTAAGCTTTTAGTGTTTATGGTTTGTTCCTTGTTTTGCACTTGCTTGATTGTTGAGTGTGAAACCCTCTTTAAACCCATCTTGGTTTAGCTTACAAATCTTCTGCATCTTCATCTCCATCATGTCATAACCTCTAAATACTTTAATGACATAATTTTAGACTTAAGAAATTGAGTCACAAGATATAAAAAGTCTTGTATCATGTATGCTTGTCATCCCCATGAATGAATGCTAGCAGAGATAAGCTTTCTTCTTTCTTGGATCCCTATTTTGCTCCCATGAAGAGAGAATTCCTACCCCACTCTCATCATAGTCTACCTATTACTCTTCCATCCTCACCAAATATCAAATGTATATCACAATCCTCAGATGGAGTACCCAAACCATAAATACATCCACATATCTACCCTCTTCAATTCTTGTTCGTAATAGGACATGAATTAACTTGAGCGTCAGAGAACCAAACCCTCTTCCAGTTCTCTAAAGCCCAAATTACTCGTTTATCAGTAAACACAAAATCTAGTTAGATTTTCGCCTTGAAACCACTTATCACTTATCCCAAAAATAAAATTCAGAAATCCAACTTTATTATCCAAACAATTACACCGGACGTAAATGTTATGTAATTTGCTAAAATTAAAAACTAAATAAGTCATCAACCAAATTCTTTAAAAACCAAAATTTAACGCAAAATCAAAAACAAAAAAAAAAACTCAAAAACTAAAAACCAAAAACCAGAATCGATAATCCAAAAAGGCAAAAAACTATTCAAACATAGTTCAATTTTACAATTTTGAGCAACCCATTAGATACATAACCTAAAATCAAACCAAAACCAAATTCGATACCAAACTGAACCAAAAAGAAAAAGAAAACTAAAATACCGAACCAAAAAGATTACAGATTAGGTAGAGACGAAATCCAACGGCCGCGATGCAACAATGATCGTTACCGGAGCTTGTGGCTTCCCTTCATCACTCTTCCTCGCCTCTTCGTCCTCCGTCACCTTCACCGTCACCGTCACTGTCACGTCCTTCAAAGTTCCCCCTCTCTCCTCTTTTAACCGCAACATCATTCCCTTTGTCCCTCTTACACACTCTTCCAATTCCCTTTCCTTCTCTCTTATCCGCCATCGCAGCCGCTTTCTCCGCCGACTCTCCTCCCATACGGTTCACCGGAACGAAACCCAATTCTTTTCCCAGTCTTCTAAGTGTGCATTCACGGCGAATTCCGCTGCTCAGCGGAGCGGGACTTTCGTCGAACACGTTACAGGCATTAAGGAATCACCAGAGAGAACCAGCGATTTCGGAGATTTGGAGTCTGCGAGGAACGACGTGAGGAATGTTTCGGCTCGTAGAGTGGAGACGGATGTGGAAATTAGAGAACTTGAAGACTTGCCTGAAGAGTGGCGGCGATCGAAGCTCGCGTGGCTGTGTAAAGAGGTCCCGTCGCATAAGGCCGTGACGCTAGTGAGGCTCTTGAATGCTCAGAAGAAATGGGTTCGTCAAGAAGACGCTACTTACATCTCTGTTCACTGCATGCGGGTTCGCGAGAACGAAACAGGATTTAGGGTAATAATAACATCCTTTTCAGACCAGTTCATCAGTTTTGCAATTGATTTGGCTGATTTTGTGCTGAAAGTCTGAATCTTTTGGGTGTATAAATCAGTTTTGCAGTTGATTTGGCTGGTTTTGTGCTGAAAGTTTTCATCTTTTAGGTGTATAAATCAGTTTTGCTATTGATTTGGCTGGTTTTGAGCTGAAAGTTTTAATCTTTAGGTGTATTGATGATGGCTACCGAAAGAAAAAGAAATCAGTTTGCAATTGATTTGGCTGATTTCGTGCTTAAAGTTTGAATCTTTTGGCTGTATAAATCATTTTTGCAATTGATTTGGCTGGTTTTGTGCTGAAAGTTTGAATCTTTTTAGGTGTATAGATGGATGACACAGCAGAATTGGTACCGGTTTGATTTCGGTTTAGCGACAAAGCTGGCTGATTTCTTAGGCAAAGAACGGAAATTCACGAAATGCCGAGAGGTGTTCGATGATATTCTGAATCAAGGTCGTGTCCCAAGCGAATCCACATTTCATATTCTTGTGGTTGCTTATCTAAGTAGTTCAGAGGAAGGCTGTCTCGAAGAAGCGTGCAGCGTTTACAACAGGATGATTCAGCTTGGAGGGTATAAACCTCGTCTTAGTCTGCATAATTCTTTGTTTAGAGCTCTGGTTAGTAAACAAGGAGGGCCATCGAAAGATGATCTTAAGCAAGCAGAGTTTATATTCCACAATGTTGTGACGACAGGGCTTGAGGTACAGAAGGATATATACACTGGATTAATCTGGATTCATAGTTGCCAAGACGAAGTTGACAAAGAAAGGATAGAGTCTTTAAGAGAAGAGATAAAGGAGGCGGGTTTTCGGGAGAGTAAAGAAGTCGTTGTCTCGTTACTGAGAGCATATGCAAAAGAAGGAAGCGTAGAAGAATTCGAGAGGACATGGCTTGAGTTACTTGATTTAGATTGTGGTATACCTTCTCAGGCGTTTGTGTACAAGATGGAAGCTTATTCGAAAATCGGCGATTATGAGAAAGCTCTGGAGATATTTAGGGAGATGGATAAGTATCTAGGAGGTGGTGCAACAGTTTCAGGATACCACAAGATCGTTGAGGTTCTATGTAAAGTAGGGCAAGTGGAATCTGCGGAATCTCTCTTGAAAGAGTTTGTAGAAAGCGGGAAGAAGCCGCTTCTACCTTCATACATCGAGATGGTGAAAATGTACTTTGGTTTGGGTTTACATGAGAAGTTGGAGATGGCTTTTGTTGAGTGCTTGGAGAAATGCAAACCTAGCCAGACTCTATACAACATATACTTAGATTCATTGGTTAAGACTGGGAAACTCGAGAAAGCAGGGGAAGTTTTCGACGAAATGAAGAACAACGGGACAATCAATGTGAATGCTAGTTCCTGCAACACACTTTTGAAAGGATACTTAGATTCTGAAAACCATGTGGAGGCAAAGAAGATGTATGATCTGATGATCTTGAAGAGATACGAAATCGAGCCGTTGCTTATGGAGAAGCTTGACTACATCTTGAGTTTGGTGAGAAAAGAAGTGAAGAAACCTTTGAGCATGAAGCTAAGCAAAGAACAGCGGGAGATACTGGTTGGTTTGCTGTTAGGTGGCCTGAGAATCGAAACAGACAAAGAGAGTAAGAGCCACAAGATCAAGTTTGAATTCAGAGAGAGTTCTCAGGCTCATCTGATTCTAAGACAACACATACATGACCAGTTCCGTGAGTGGTTGCCTCCCTCCAGCAATTCGTTTGAATTCTCCTCCATTTCTCATTCATATTTTGGCTTCTACGCTGACCATTTCTGGCCAAATGGTCGACCGGAGATTCCGAAACTGGTTCATAGGTGGCTCTCACCACATTCACTTGCTTACTGGTATATGTACAGCGGCTTCAAAACATCGTCCGGAGACATTATCTTGAGATTGAAAGGAAGTCTTGAAGGTGTTGAGAAAGTAGTGAAAGCTCTGAGAGCAAAATCTATTGAATGTCGTGTGAAGAAGAAAGGAAAAGTTTTCTGGATCGGACTTCAGGGGACAAACTCCGTTTGGTTCTGGAAACTAATAGAGCCTCATGTATTAGATGACTTGAAAGATCATCTGAAACCTGCTTCTGAATCAATGGACAATAATGGAGAAGAAGAACAAAGCATCAACTTTGTCACAAGCTCAGATCATAGCATTGATATGATCAGATGAAACTCAGCAATGTTAATTTTGACTTTTACATAAGTTTTTTTTTTTTTTTGGAATGTTTCCATCATTTTTGGAAATAATATATAGAATGTACATGATTTGTAGCTAGTGTGCATGATCATTTTGAAGAACAAACAAAATTCTGAAATCATTCATGATATTATTTGTTGTTTTTTAAATAATAATTACAAAAAAAAAGAAAACAAAAACCAAATATTTATTGTCTAGTGGCCATAGTTGGTAAAATACCTACTATCCCATTGTGTTATAAGATAGAGACATGAATGTACCCGAAAGGACTAGATTTAATTGAATAATCAATAATGTATATTTTTGGAACAAAAATCAAAATTGTTAATTAATCGTATGGAAATTGGCTCCAATGACCATAAAAAGAGTTGAAATTCAGAAATTCATCATATAATATATAAAAGTTGATGGCATAGTGCATTGATGGCGTCCACATGAGATTAAAAACTCGATTTGATTGGTCTACATCAGCATATTCATTAAATAAAAAATGTTAAGTATGATTAGGACGGAAAAACTTGATTTAATTGGTCCACGTCAACTTTTAAGTCAAACCAAAAATTATTAAATATAATTAAAACATTAAAAGTTAATCTAACAACTTATGTCCAACAAAAAAAGTAAACTCAATCTGATTAGTCCAAATCAACATATTACTAAATCAGAAAATATTAATATGGTTTAAAAATTTTAAAGTTAAATAAAAAAATTAACAATATATGTATAAAAAAAGGTAACCATTATCAATTATCAATTTAAAAAAATCTACAACAACTCGATTTAACAATTAAAAAAATGAAAGTTGAATAAAAATATAACATAAAACTCTTGGAAGACATGATAGAGAAAAAAATGGTTTTGCATGATCATAACACTTTCCTAACAAAATTAAATGCGAATCAACATGAATCATGAATTATATATACAGTGGTACACAACATTAATAAGACTTTCAATAAAAAACTAAATATTTGAACACATAAACCTTCAAGAAAAAAAGAACTATATAAATTTTATGAAAAACAGAAAATAATACCAAAATATTAGCAAGGTTATATTTCTCTAAATCAAATGTATATGTACGTCAAAGTTGGATAATTCGATAAGTATCATTGTTATTATTTTATCTAATAGTTTTTTAAAATTTATAAATAAAAATAGGATAAATTACACATTATATATTAAATTCTCTTATATAAATGAAAATTTCTATAAATATATATAATTTTTAATAATTTTAAAAATAATAGCTAAAAATAAACCAAAATATTAATACAGACTCGCACGTAGCGCGAATTATATACCTAGTAACTATAACAATTGAAATGCTATACTATTCATTGTATTTTTTATAATATATACGAAAATATTCTTTTTCATTGTAGCGATTTTTTTTTTTTCTCCTCTTCCGTGATCTTCTTCCCTTCTCCTCCCTTTCCTTTCTGATTTTCCCTCCTCCCCTTCCCCTCCCCTCTTTTCTCCTCTCCCTTCCTCCCCTTTCTCTCCCCTCCTTTCTCTTCCTTTCACTTCTCCTTAGAGAATAAGAGGTTATACTATACAAATTATATGAAATAATCATTTTTGTAAATAGTATAGTATGACAATAAAAACATTCAAGTACTATACTATATTAGTTTTGTCATAAATAAAACATATATCATAGTATAGTTCAGAAGAAAATAAGGATAATGTGTTTTTATGATAAGAATAAGGAAATTTTAGTAATTTTCATGTGAATCATGGTTAGTTTGCATATTATTTAAATATTATGACTATATTTTTTTATTGTTTTTTAAATATAATTATTACGAAAAAACCCTTAATCGTATATATATATCCATAAAATAATAAATAGAGACAAATTTGTTGTGAGGAACAAAGTGGGTCCTAGGGTTTTCTCTCACTCATGCGTCTCTCTCTGTCGTTTTGATTTCTTCCAAAGTCTCTTTCCCTTTCTACAGTCTAAAGAGACGGAAGCCAGTGAGAGCGAGAAAGTTGCTCCACGTTCTTTGTCTCTTCCGATTCCCTCTCTCTCCTCTTTATAGATACAGCGACTGGGCTTATTTCGGTTTATCAGAGAGAATCGAGCTAGAAACAAAGCGAGAAGGAAGAAGAATAAGAAATGGGCAAGTCAAGGTGTTTCATGGACATTAGCATTGGAGGCGAGCTTGAAGGGAGGATAGTTATCGAGCTTTTCGATGACGTTGTACCCAAAACCGCCGCGAATTTCCGATCTCTTTGCACCGGCGAGAAAGGCATAGGTCCCAATACCGGCGTCCCTCTCCATTACAAGGTCTGTCTTTCTGTCTCTCTCTCTGTTTCTCATCTATGTGTATACTCTTATATGTATGTATCTGCTTCTACAAAGTATAGAAATGGGTATGTGTTGTTTCTGCGATTTAGGGTTTGTAGTTTAATGGGTCATTCGTCTTCTGGGTTTGTTTCAGAAAAGGGAAAGATTTTTAAGAGATGATGCGAAGGGTTTGTTTAGAAATGATGAAGAACTTTGAAAGTTGTTTCCTTTATGATTTATGGTATTGGTATGTTTCTGTTTCAGGGGAATCGATTCCATCGTGTTATAAAGGGGTTCATGATTCAAGGTGGGGACATTTCAGCTAATGATGGTTCTGGTGGTGAGTCTATCTACGGATTGAAGTTCGAAGATGAGAACTTTGACATGAAACATGAGAGGAAAGGGATGCTATCTATGGCTAACTCTGGCCCAAACACTAATGGCTCTCAGTTTTTCATCACGACGGCGAGGACTTCACATTTGGATGGGAAACATGTTGTCTTTGGTAAAGTTACGAAAGGAATGGGAGTTGTAAGGTCCATCGAGCATGTCACCACGGAGGAACAGGCTTGTCCTTCCCAGGATGTTGTGATTCATGACTGTGGAGAAATCCCTGACGGAGAAGATGATGGGATATGTAACTTTTTCAACGACGGTGATGTGTACCCTGACTGGCCTATTGATCTAAACGAAAGCCATGTAGAGTTGTCTTGGTGGATGGAGACTGTTGATTCTGTCAAGGCTAGTGGGAACGAGCACTTCAAGGTTCTTAATTTTTCCTCAACCTTTTGTTCCTGATTCCGTATGTTCTAGATTCGCATTTCTTAGGATCTGATCTTTTTTTGACCTCGATTTACTCTCAGAAACAAGACTACAAGATGGCTCTTAGAAAGTACCGCAAGGCTTTGCGCTATCTGGATATTTGCTGGGAGAAAGATGGCATTGATCAAGGTACTTCACCATTCTTTAATCTATATATGTTTCTTTTTGCTGCATTTCAGGGAATATCGATACCAATGTCTCTCACTCACTCTCTCTACTTGTGATCTTGCAGATACAAGTACTGCCTTGCGTAAGACAAAGTCGCAGATCTTCACTAACAGTGCTGTAAGCTTCCTGTTTCCTTACCTTCTGTTATGCTTACAATCCTTGTTAGTATCTTCTTTTTGTTAGTGAAATCTATGTAGACTGTACATATATGTGTGTGCTTAAGTACCATCCGAAGCATGCGTCTCTCGATTCTGTTGGTCTTTTTCTAAACAGCCTATAATGTGATTGAATTAGCTTAACCCTGAATAGATGAGCTCCATTTATCTTGCATTTGTGCTGCCTGCTTGATTCTTCTGTTGTGAAAAGAAACGGTAGAAATATACTTGTGGGAACATACATAAACGATTTAGTCAATGCTTAATAATTTTGATTGCATTTTTAACTATGTCCTCCAATGTTTCCATTTGTCCAACTCGATTGATTTGGCTTCCCTTCATAGCTGATATTTTCTACAATGGTGTCATCTCTTTGAATCGTAACTTTCTCCTGTGGCAGGCCTGCAAATTGAAATTTGGAGATGCAAAGGGAGCGTTGTTGGACACTGAGTTTGCTATGCGTGACGAAGATAACAATGTTAAAGCATTGTTTCGACAAGGCCAGGTACTTAACAAATCTTATTGCTCTGACAGTAGTCTAGAGTCTAGGCCTCTCGTTATTATGTATTTCTCTTACGTTCTATAACTGTGCTTGTTGTCGGTAACGTTAGGCATACATGGCTCTCAATAACATCGATGCTGCTGCTGAAAGCCTTGAGAAAGCTCTTCAGTTCGAACCTAATGACGGTGAGTGTTTCTTCAACCGTTTGTTTAGTGGTCTTACTCGTTTGGTTCATCGTTGTTGATGTATATAGTATATATTACACACGCGGCCTAAATCTATTGGGAGAGATATCTTACTAGCATGTTTTGTTGGTGTTGATTTTCAGCTGGTCTGAAGAAAGAATATGCTGCTGTAATGAAAAAGGTGGGTATGCTTATTATAAGCAATCTGAGGAAATACTTTAAGCTATAAATCATGACTTAAACTTGAAGGATCATAAAAGGTCTTTAAGCTGATGTTAATAACATTGATATTCTATATATGTGCAGATTGCCACAAGAGACAACGAGGAGAAGAAGCAGTATCGCAAAATGTTCCTATAGTCTGATACATTTAGGGTAAGCCTAAATTAGTCAAATCGATATGTGGCAAGGAACCACAGAGAAGTTTTCTTTTAAAGATGCAATGATTTAATATTCGAGAATCTCATTTGGTAAAGCTTTATTTTGACTATTTTAGTGTGACTCTTTAAGTAAATTTAGCGTTTTGTGCTCTGTGTAGGTTTGGTTGGATAGTGGAGAAGAGACTAACAAAAAAAAAGTGAAAGAAGCATATAAACAAGAAAGAAAATATTCAAAAAAACAAGACTTTTGGGAAGTGTTTCTATTTCCCTCATTTTGGTAAACAATGCTTACTTCTGCATTCCAGCAAATACTAATGCCATAGTTTTTTCACCCACAAGACAGATTCAATGAGACTATTAATGCAATTTTTTGAGTTATTGCAGTCGCTCCTGTTCTTGATTCCTTCTCAATTTTTGTCTCTTTTTGCTTGAATAAGGTGCTAGGAAATGCAGAAATAACTGGCAAATAGGTACATAACAATGTTGAATGAAACAGAGAACTAAAAAAACAGAGTACCTTACAAAACGTAAGACTGCAGATAGACAAACAGAGCTCTATGCGGCAAATTTATGACTACATTTTGTCATCCAGCAAGAAAATAAGAGAGTAATAATTTCTTTCCTCAGCTGTGTTTCATTTTTCTAAATTTCGTGTGGCAATTGTGATCATATATGATATAATATTACAAAATGTTCTCTGGCAACATTCACAGCTACTTGAGTGCACTGCAATATTGAACTCAATGCAACCATGAGCTATAGGTATATTGGCCTGCAAGCATTGTATAAATAGAGCGTCTTAGCAGAAAGAAATAAGGCATATGAAATGGATTATAGAACCGTCATCCAAATATTTCTTTACAAACACTACACTTATTTTACCCCAAAGCAAGACGAAACATGCACATGAACACGAACACGAACATTAGGGTGTAGACAATGATTAAGGAAAAATTAGGCATTAAACAGTGAAGAGGTTGCAAATTTACCATTTCCAAGGTGGCAAGGCCTATTGATAAGAAAGAGTCTTCAGTATAAAGTCTTGACTAACTGCATATAATCATATTTTGTTAGCATAACAAGAAAAGGAAACTGAGGAACACACTCCTCCTTGTCATGGCTTAACAATTAGTCCTTGTCTTGCAAATTGCAATGCTTCCACATGCCTTTTTCTCGGATCAACATCTTAATCTCAGATTGTGAGATCTAATCAGAGCACCCATTATAGGTGCAGAGAAGTCACTCCCATCACTCTTTCAAAAACAGAGCATCCATTGTAGACTGGACCTGACACATTCAAAAAGTGTCTTATAAGTGTAAAGTGTTGTTGAGCTTCTATTCCTGCAAACAAGAAGAAGAAGAAGAAGAAGATGATGATGAAACGAATGGAACAATTAGCATTACTAATAATCAAATCACAACCCTTTAAACACTAAACTTATGAGAATTGAGACTATAAACATATGAAGCTCTTTTCTCAAGGTTTTTTTTCTCCCAACTAAAGCTGAAAGAGTTTTAACTGACCTTGAGATTGAGTATGAGAGCAGTGTAAGTAAGCCATGAATCAACATTGGCTTGATTTTACTTCACAATAGGCTTCACATCGACCCTATCAATCACAATGTGTTACAGAAACTAAACACATATACTCACGTTATAATTGTTTGCAACATCTCTATTTCCAAAACTAATTCCTTATATCGTCATCTCTGAAGCTCTCATGATCTTCATCAACATGAAGCTTCTAGAGTTGGAGTATCCCGCATTCTTTAATACATATGTTGATAGGACCTGGCTGCATCATTAAACTGAGGTCGAACACAAAATAAAGCTCGGTGGAAGTCACCTCCTCTGCTTCAACGTTGAATATATACAAATGCTCCGAAAAGATTTGGCCTGGAAAGTGTTCCTTTGTTATACACGCAGTGCGAGCATTCTGTTTGGACGTGACTCTACATTCCAAACTGAATAGATCGCAAAATTTAGCACCATTAACCAGAAGGATGCACGCCCTAAATTGTGTTGATTTACGAAGAGACTTTTCATTCAGCTTCACATGTAAGGAACTACGAGAAGATCGAAAAGCGAAGTAGGCAGGAACTTCTCCTCCGGGTAAGACCACATCTCCACGAGTTGATGCCTGGATGATGAGATTTCTTGCTTCTTGATTTAGTTTGAAGCAGTTTCGAAAGTTGAGATCAATACGTGGATTGCTAAAGGAGCAATCTAATATCCCCAAGGACTTGCAATTCATTGCATCTACGAACAATAAGGAACCGGGAATCTGTGGGAGTGATACCAGCTTCCGCATTTTGTTAAGTACAAGCGTAGACGTGAGCATCTCTTGACCCATAGACCAATCTCTTGTATTTTTGTATCTCTCAAATGAAGCTCTGTGATTCTGTCAAGAACATATGGGAATTCCTGGAGGTTTTCAGAGTATGACAGATGCAGTTTTTTAAGTCTAGACCATAACCTGATCGATGAAGGAACTTCTTCTATTGATGTACCAATGAGATTGAGATATTCAATGTTGGTGGAAATTTTAGGAAAACTTGTAAATAATGAGCAATTTTCGAGATTAAGTTCCGCCAGGGATGCGAAATTGAGGTTGGTTGGAAGAACCTTTAACTTTGAGCATCTCTGCAAACCCAACACCTTTAATCTATGAAGGTTTCCAATAGACGAAGGGAGCTCCACCAAGCTTTTGCATCCCAAAGCTCCAATTTTCGGAGATTAGTTGCATTCCTAATAAAGGAAAGAAGCTTAACCAGACTTGAGCATTTACTGAGATACAAATCTTGAAGATTAGTTGCATTTCCCATAGAGGAAAGGAGCTCCACCAGACTTGAACACCAACTAAGATCCAAGTTTTGAAGATTAGTTGCATTCCCAATAGAGGAAGGGAGCTCAACCAGACTTGATCATTTATTGAGATCTAAATTTTGAAGATTAGTTGCATTCCCAATAAAAAAAGTGAGCTCCACCAGATTTGAACATTCCTTGAGATTCATATTTTGGAGATTCATTGCATTCCCAAAAGAAGAAGGGAGTTTAACCAGACTTGAGCATTTACTGAGATCCAAAATTTGAAGATTAGTTACATTCCCAATATAAAAAGAGATCTTCACCAGACTTGAACATCCCCTGAGATTCAAATAGAGGAGATTCAATGCATTCCCAATAGAAGAAGGGAGCTCCATCAGACTTGAACATTCACTAAGATCCAAACATTGGAGATAAGTTGCATTTCCAATAGATAAAGGGAGCTCCACAAGACTTGAACATCCACTAAGATCTAAATATTGAAGATTAGTTGCATTTCCAATAGAATAAGAGAGCTCCATCTGATTTGAGCATCCACTAAGATTCAATTTTTGGAGATTAGTTGTATTTCCAATTAAGGAAGGAAGTTTTACCAGACTTGAACTTCCCCGGAGAATTAATTTGTAGAGATTCGTTGCATTCCCAATAGAAAAAAGGAGCTCCATCAAACTTGAGCATCTACTAAGGTTCAAATCTTGAAGATTAGTTGCATTCTCAATAGAGGAAGCGAGCTCTTGCAGATTTTCTGAATAACTCAAATTCATCCACATCAGATTTCGAAGCGACTGCATTGACAAGTAAAGACATGATACATGAGTTGATATTTTTTGCAGTCTGAGCATATAGAAAGAAATACGCATACACAAAAATAATATGTCTCCATTCTATTAATATTTAACCATTTTTTTTAAACGGCAGTCGCACAATCTACTTTTTCATATTGTACAAGAAAGCATATTATAGATTCGAAACAAGGTTTAATATCTGATAGAAAATACATATATTATGCTTACTTTGTTTCCGTCCCACAACTTCTCAAGCTTGCTGTGTTTTATGCGTAAGTCAACAAGGAACTCCATGTTATCGATAAAAGACAAACATGTAACTGGCGAATAACTCCAATCTAGTAATCAAAGTTTCAGAGATATATAACTCAGACATCCTGGGGAAAACAATATGTTTGGAGGACTAGAAACACCGCCTAATCTTAAGAATTGGAGATTAGGCATTCATTCAAAGACTCTCTCACTTACGTTTACGTTTAACTTGATCTGGTAGTTTAAATTGATGCCTATAACATTTTTAGTATTCTGAAAAAGACCACAAGAAATAAGTAGAGATGATAAAAGTAAACTCAAGTTATAATGAGGAATGCAACAAAAGTCTAATGGCAAAACTTACTTTTGTATAATCAGTAAAGACTTCATGAATATCTTCTTCTTCAACCAAAAATTGTCGTTGCCCAGACTCACGAACAGATTGTTTGCGGACAACTTCTTTACCTAGTTGGGCCAACAAGCTATGCATATTGGTCATTCCGTGATCAATAGATATGAGAGATTTATCAGCTAAAATGTTAAGTCGTTGCCTCACGTGCTTGAAATTCTTTGCCAGATTCTCTACAACTTTCTCCACCTCTTCATTATTGAAAAAGCAAGCTATATGAAGGAATAAATCTTTATCTTCATCACACAAAGCATCATAACTGAATTTCAAAATATTCCCAATTTTTTCGTTAAGGCGTGTCCTTAACCTTGGTAGTTCCATTGACCACACCTTCTGGGTCATTTTCCGAAAGTATGAGCCCATAACCTGTAGTCCTAGAGGAAGTTTACCGGCAAGAAAAATAACGTTCCAAGCAAGGTCAACGAAACCATCCTTAGGGTACTTTTGACAAAAAGCATACACGCAGAACATTTCAAGAGCCTCATCACTTGATGGAAAAGCCACCTTGTATTTATGGTTGATTCCATGTGCCCTTAAAAGTTTTTGATCTTGTGTTGTGATGATAATCCGACTCCAAGGACCAAACCAACAGTGATTTGAAAGGCAAACACTTGTATTTCTCAAAGTAACGAGTACAAATGAGAGAATTTTACGGAAGTTCTCTCCCTCTTCCTCACACAAGAACACTCACAAATGTCTTGATGCCTTTTTCGTACAACCCTCACACTCTTAATATACTAAACGACAACTACTACTACCCCTTCACACTAACCGTTACGATCCATGTGATGAGATAGCGACAGACACCTTACTACAGTTTATTCTTACTCTAGTACGATTAAGCTCTCTTTCGGGACCACGCCAAACTTGAGGAGAGTTGCAATCCGGTTCATGCTTGCTTCGGTTTAATCTTCCTTCGGTAATGATAGATAACCGGCAGATGCTCTGCTTCGTACCTATCAATACCCCCTTCCTTCAAATTAACCTTGTCCTCAAGGTTGAACCACAGAAACTGCCCTTTGATCACGCTATGCCATTCCCACGATCTGTCATAATCTGGCAAGCCCTTCCACTTAATCAACACTTCCTCTTGACCCGAGTTAACATTCACCCTCGTTCCCAACACGGTTTCTGGCTCCGCCATCAGCACTCTATCCTCTGTCATCTGAGCTGGTAGAGGAACTGCCATAATCACTTCTCCAACTGCCTTCTTCAGCTGAGACACGTGAAAAGTGGGATGTATCTTAGCATCCGGAGGCAGTTTGAGCTTGTAGGCAACGGCTCCCACCCTTGCTTCGACTTCATACGGGCCATAGAACCGGGCAGACAACTTTTCATTAGCACGTCTTGCCAGCGTTTTCCTCCGAAATGGTCTTATTTTCAGATAGACCCAGTCCCCTACGGCAAACTCCACTTCCCTCCTGTGCCCGTTTGCTCGTTCCTTCATGCTGTGTTGGGCCTTTTGCAAATGTTCCTTCAGGAGCGCCAAGTGATTATCCATTTCCCTCAGCTTATCTTCTAACTCTCCATTCGTCGTGGATCCTTCTTCATACCTTAACAGAACCGGCGGATCCTTCCCATACACTGCCTTGAAGGGAGACATCTGAATAGTCGAGTGATACGAAGAGTTGTAAGTCAGCTCTGCCCACAGGAAAAACGAGACCCACTTCTGAGGGTGATCCCCTACATAACAACGGAGATACATCTCGAGCCCTTTGTTTGTCACCTCCGTCTGCCCATCGGTTTGTGGATGGTATGCAGTGCTGAAACAGAGACTTGTTCCTGCCAAGCAAAAAAGTTCCTTCCAAAAGAGACTAGTAAATACCTTATCTCTGTCGGAGATGATGGTTTTCGGGAAGCCATGAAGCTTGATGACCTCCTGCACGAACAGCACTGCCACCTCCGTTGCTGAGAAGGGGTGCTTGAGGCAGATGAAATGTGCATACTTGGAGAGTCTGTCGATCACCACCAGAATAGCGTTGTAGCCCTCAGACCGTGGCAGCCCCTCCATGAAATCCATAGCAACGTCTTCTCACACCAGCATTGGTATAGGGAGTGGTTGAAGTAGTCCTCCAGGAGCGAGTGTTGAGTACTTGTAAAGTTGACATGTCTAACACGCCGAGACGTATCTCCTGATGTCAGTTATCATGCCTTTCCAATAAAACAGCTCTCCGATCCTCTTCTGCATCTTCAACACTCCTCTGTGCCCCCCCATTTTTCCGTCATGGAACTCTTTCATGATGATTCCAATGAGAGGTGAGGTTCGGGGCACCACCAGCTTGCCCAACCGCAGAAGTCTTCCTTGCACTAAAGTGAACTCTGGATGCGACTGGGGGTTCTGTTTCAGGGCTGAGACTATCTCCTGCAACTCTTCGTCTTTGACCACCTCGCTGCAGATCTCCTCTAACTGTATTGCCGCCAGAACTGTGAGTGCATACAGCTCGGGAATGGCTTCTTTGCGTGAGAGAACATCTGTGGCTTTATACTCTAGCCCGGGCATGTACTGGATGTCAAAGTCAAACCCGTGAAGTTTGGTTTTGATATTCCATGTTGATCTCCCTCTGTTCCAGAAGAAACTTCAGGCTCTTTTGGTCAGTACGCACTATAAACTTCCTCCTTAGCAGAAAGTGGCGCCATTTTTGAATTGCAAACACAATGGCCTTAAGTTCCCTCTCGTAGATGGACTTATGCCTCTGTCTCTCCGTTAGCGCTTGGCTGAAGTATGCAAGTGGTCTCTGCCTCTGCATCAACACGGCCCCTAACCCCATTCCCAAAGCATCTGACTCCACCACAAACAGAACTGAGAAGTCCGGCAAAGCCCGTACCGCAACTGTAGTCATTGCAGTCTTAGGCCTCTAAAATGCTTATGTGGCTTCTATGCTCCACTTGAAGCCATCCTTCTTCAGTAAATCGGTGAAAGGCTTTGCGATAGCTCCGTAGTTCTGCCCGAAGCGTCTGTAGTAACCCGTCAGTCCCAAGAAGCCTCGCAAGTCTTGCACGTTCCTTGGCTCAATCCACTCTACCATTGCACTGATTTTGCTGGCATCCGCTGCCACCCCTTCTGCAAATATTACATGCCCCAAGTACTCGATTCACTCACTGCCGAATTGGCATTTCTTCTTGTTGGCATACAGTTTCTGTTGAGCCAAGGTTTCGAGGACTCTTCAGAGGTGTTCTTGGTGTTCCTCCCGGTTCTTACTGTACACCAGGATATCGTCAAAGAAGACGAGTACGTACTTGCGCAGATAGGGCCTAAACACTTCATTCATCAGAGATTGAAACGTGGCCGGCGCATTGGTGAGGCTGAAAGGCATCACGAGAAATTCGTAATGCCCGCCAAAGGTACGAAAATCTGTCTTCTGCACATCTTTAGCTCGCACCCTGATTTGATGATAACCCGATTTTAAATCCAGCTTAGAGAAGATAGATGCCCCTTCGAGCTCATCGAGAAGCTGTTCAATCATCGGCATTGAAAAGCTATCAGCCACCGTTTCCTTGTTTAAAGCTCGGTAATCCACGCAAAAATGCCAGCTGCCGTCCTTCTTCTTCATGAGCAGCACGGGGCTTGAGTATGGACTCCCACTCTCCCTGATGATTCCCGCTGCTAGCATGGTTGTGATCTGATGCTTTATTTCCTCTTTTTGCACTTGTGGGTAGCGAAAGGGGCAAACGTTGATGGGTCGAGTCCCTGGTTCAAGAGTGATCGCGTGTTCTCTGCCTCTGGACGGGGGTAATCCTTGTGGGTCCTCAAACACCTGAGAAAAATCCTCCAGAACTCCGATTAGTTCCTCTGGTGGCGATGGAGTTACTTCCTCTTCCCGCACTTGAAGCCCTCCGTATTCGACCAGTACCCCCTCTCCACCCTGTTCCAACGCTTTCCACAGAGCTTTGAGAGAGACTGCCGAGCTACACAGGCTGGGATCTCCCTGAAGTGTGACGGTCATCCCTTGTACTTCGAATTTCATCCACTGTTACTTCCAGTTGACTCACATGTCTCTGAGGGTCGCGAGCCACTGTATTCCGAGAATCACATCAGCGCTTCCCAGTTCGATAGGTAGAAAGCTGGTGGTGATGACGCACCCTTGCATGTTGAGGTCCACGTTCTTGCAGATCCTGGCTCCCTTCACCGTCAGACCGGTTCCTACAAGCACGCCGTAGCTTCTGGTTCCCTCCGTATTTGACCCCATAAGCCTCGTAAAATCAATGTCGATGAAGTTGTGAGAGGCCCCGCTGTCGATCAAGACCACCACGTCCTCTCCCTTAACCGACCCCACGAGCTTCACGGTGTGGGGGACGAGATTCCCACCACCGAGTTGATTGACAACTCCGCCAGCTCCGTGATGCCCAACGCGATCTCCTCTTCCCCGTCGTCATCCTCGTTCCAGTGGAACTCACTCTCCGTACCATCCTCCTTCATTACTAAGAGCTGCAGTTCCTTGTAACGACAGACGTGCCCCTTGAAAAACTTCTCGTCACAATGGAAACATAGTCCCTGTGCCCTCTGATCAGCCATCTCTTCTAGTGTGAGTCTCTTAAAAGAGGGTTTGCGAGTCAATGGCCCTCGAGATGACAGATTTAGGTTTCTGCTGCTTCCCCCACGATACGCTGTCGTTTGGCTCTCTACGTTATTAATGGATCTGGGCCGTGTTTGAGTTGGCCCATTTCCGCGGTTGGGCTCCACGCGACTGTGTTGTAAAGTGAACCTCCCATCTTCTTGCTGTACTGTCCTTGCCTGACTCTCCGTGGCGCCTCCTCCAGTACTGAGTACTCATCCACTTTTCAGGCCACCTCCATCAGTTGTTTCAGAGTACGGGTTTCGATCATCTTCACGCCGGCTCTAACTTTGGCCTTTAGCCCCACTCGGTAGGCCAAGTCGAGCATGCTGTCGGTTTGCTCCGGCGCGTTGGTCGCAAAGGTGATAAAATCGCGATTGTAACTCCTCACCGAACTTTCCTGTTTCAGCACCAACAGACGTTCGCCGGCGGTAGTATCGTGAGCCTCTGCATAGTTTTCCAGAACACGTAACTTCATCAGCTCCCACTCCGTGAATGGATTTCTGTCGCGCTCCCATCGATACCACAGCTACATGTCGTCTTCAAAGCTCATTCACACTGCTCTGAGTTTGTCTTCCTCGGATAGGTCTCCCAGCTCGAAGTATTGTTCCACTCAGAGTACCCAGTTCTCAACGTTTGTATCAGAGGAATCACCATTTTTCTCATCAAAGGCTTATCCTTTCCGTCCGCAGCTTTTGGTTCCGTGGGTGGTTCCATCGGAGACAGCGTGACGGTCACCAGACGATTATCCGTGTCCGGTGTTGGTTCTGCGACTTTCTTGGGAAGCACTGCTGTCGCCGCAGTCCCCGTGAGCTCTAGTGTTTCTCCCGACGCCCCCGTACCCGTAGTGTCAGATTGTTTGTCGGACAATGGCGTTTGCTCCAGTTGGCGTTTCTTGGCCTCCTCTTCCTACATGAATCGTTTCTCCAGGAGTGCCAACACCCGCATCTGCTGCTTCATCTCGTCTAAGGTCGAGATGATGGAACCCATCTCTTCCTGCATCTCTTCCATGGTTTTCTTCAAATCGTTTCCCGGCTTAGGACCCATCTTTTCCCAGGTATGATTGCTCTGATACCAAGTTTGTTACGTGTTGTAAACAAAACTTATAGAAAAGAAGAGATTTGAAAGGCAAACACTTGTATTTCTTAAAGTAACGAGTACAAATAAGAGAATTTTACGGAAGTTCTCTCCCTCTTTCTCACACAAGAACACTCACAAATGTCTTGATGCCT